ATAGGACAACGGAAACCTTGAACCTGATTTTTAGAATGGAATGTCAATTCCAAATAAGTTGACACAATAAGGGTTGAAACACTGAGTTACAATAGGCGAACTTAATGTCTTATGACATTCTCTAGAGGAGAGTAACTAAATATGGGCTACCATTTTGTTTTTGGATCAAAAATTAAAAACTAGATAAAAATCGACTTTTTATTAATGTAATAATAATCAGACGTATATTTTTAAAGAGCACAGTAACAGTCTTACGTTTTTATTAATAAACTATACTATCAAAATTGAGCATTAAACAAAATAGCAAAATAATAAAAATAGTGAATGAATGCGATAGAAGATACTCGTTTACAACGCCTTTTTATTAATTCTTTTCTAGAATAATTACTAGCCCATATTAAAGCACTAGCCCACATTTCGTTACTTTCCTCTATTAATAAATTAAAAGTAAAATTAAACGTGATAAAATCCGTAGAAAAAATTTTATGCAATGAATTTTAGTTCTTCTAGTCTAGACTAATCTTCCGAATGGCTGAAACGATTGTTATAAAACTTCACAAACAGGTAGAGACAATGCCATATTTTAATTTATCCAAAAAACTTGGATATATGTTTATTTAAAATAAAAGAAAACTTGATAAATAAAGTAAAGTTCGTTCATTCCGAAAGAACTGAAGACTCACCTTTCAAATAATATCCGATAATGAAGAATGAAATCATAATTATTTCTTTGTTTTCTGTAATAAGATTTTGAACTACACTGTTTGAAAAAAATAAAAGAAAAAAGTGTGTGTACTTATGTACGCACGTGGGAAATTATACTTCTTTAGCGTAACTCATCATTTTTCCCAAACGCCCCAAAAGAAGTATAACTTCAAAAACCTTTTGTGATTAGCCCAATGAAGAACCGCTAAAGGAGCTTAAAGGCAATCCTAAGGAACCCAATGGGTAGACGGTCCGATTAGACCTGTACTTACAAAGAAATTATCGCAGAAACGCCGATCATCACAGCGTCTAATTTGGATATAGATGCAGACATATTAAAATCCTGACCAAGGACTTGTCTTCTGTGACAGAATTTGGTTTAAACGTACACTGCGAATTAGGTATTCGTCTGCAACATATAGCTACATCGAGCTTAGACAAAGAGACCGTAAAGAGCTCTGAGCTTAATACTTTATCCTAACCAACTGTACAACTTGGCGCTACAACAATGAATGACAAGCATGCCTCGACTTGTCATCGGTAATCTTCGTGGCTTCGGAGGGGGTAACAAGCCGCACCTACATTGCCACAGCCCTACCAATGAAGGTGGGTGCACAGTCCACAATCTCCTCGAGATCATTGCGATATCTACCTATAGATTAGGTACAAAGTACGCAGGACAACTGGCGTTGATTATAAAACAAGAGCTGCTTTAATCCAAAAACCGCATCATGCTCTCGTGGAATAAGGTTCTATACCCCTAAATTCATCAGTTCTCCACATCAGGAATAACACCCAAGCCACGCGGAACGATTGCAATTTGATGAAACGATAAATAATTTACTACTTATTGTGGCAATAACTTCCAACACTTCATGTTAAACGTGTTTGACACCCAAACCAAACTGTATTTTATTCTTGACTAAAAACAAAAGAAATAGTTCGCTTTTCTCGAAACCTTTCTTTAAATTGGTACTTCATTCTAGTAGATGAAATACTTAGAACAACCGCAGAATAAATCATGGTAGAATCATTAGCAGATAGTTATGTAAGGCTATGCAATGTGTACCTAAAAAAACTAAGGGAGTTTTGTACAATTAACTCAAATTATTAGTTTTAGATTTCAATTCCTAAAATTAGTCGGTCTCTTACAAAAAATAAAAAAACTATAGTAATGCGAGATTTTTAAGGACGTCTACAGACCCATCTTTACCAAAATACGATGATGAAATCAGTAGTCCTAAAATACTTAAATAGTGTAAATAACATTAACTCGTTTTTTTTTATATGATAGGGTGACAAATGAGCACACAGTCCACCTGATGGTAAGTGGTTGCCGTGGCTCATAGTACATCTACATTTATCCTCGTTTGTGAATCAAAATGCAGATGCGTTGTCACCCGTGAGGACTAAGATGGAATGCCTCTTTTCCAGTAAAAAGAGTCTCCGGTTCTCTACACTCACCATACGAAACACAACAGCATGAAGCTGCTATTTTACACTGGTATTCTGTGAGAGCGTGGTCCTTCCCAAGTCGTGCCGACCCATTCGTGCTACAACTATACTACTAATATAGCTGCAGCATGGCTCTACCACGTGTAGAAAATTGTTTGCAAAAATTGACAAAATATGTGTTAGATTTTGGACAATTTAATAAGAATTCCCGATATAATAAATAATATATCTAGAGTTTGAACAAATCAGCCGATAAAAGTCATATTATATAAAAATTGTTGTTTGTTTGTTCGTATTTTGTGCGCTGCCATGCCGTTCATCGCGTTGCGCTGAAGCTTTGTCAACTTGCTGCTTACACACTGTAATCGGATGGAAAGACAGATGCCGGCAACTTATTCCACTCCTTTGCTGTACGCATGATGAATGATGTAGCTAACCGTTTAGTTCGAGTGCGTGGTAAGTCAACAACAAAATGGTGGAGACTGGCCGCACGTCTGGCTGTCCGATGGTGGAAGGGAGAGGGAGGAATTAAATTATGCAATTCCTGCGCACACTCTCCGAAATGCATCCTGTAGAAAATCGAAAGGCTACTTTGCGTCTGTTTTCGGGGCTGGTAAGATTGGTTTTAACCAAATTTGGTTACCAATAAGCCTCTTAGCATGCCTTTCCATTGAGTCCAAAGCTGCTAGGTGACATTTTGCAGCAGTACAGTATCATTACCATACCATAATACCACACACGTACGTATAGTATTCGTAGTTCTGCAATCGTAATGGTACTGTTACCTAACATTAAAACGTAGTTATTTTGTGGCAAAAATATTACACTTCGACTTTATAATCAGATAGATTAATTCAAAAATTTTTCATAAGTATAAGTTTTATGGGTGGGTTTCATACAAAATTTAATTGTTAATTGTCAAAGAAGTCTTCCATGCTTGTCAAATTTCTAAAATGACCCCCTTGTGTGTGGAAGTTATATTGATTTTTTATTATTCATAAAGATTGTTTCTTACTAAAATATTTCTTTTATCGTTTATGTTTACTCATTATATATGTGCTTCGTCCGAAGAGATTAGTAACTCATATCATATCATTCGGCTCTAAATTTAATGACATATCGAAGACAGAATCAATGGATGGTACGCGGAGTGTGGTTTCCCCACAACCCGTGACCGGAAGAAGGGGAAAGGAGGGGGTTTTAATTTTTTAAATTCTTAACTATAGTGCGAGTAGTGAATCCGAGACGTGATACATGTGTTTAATAATAATTGAGGAGGTACTCAATTCGACTGTATTTTTTTATGTGTGTTAGCTCATAACTGTTTTCTGGGTGATCCGATTTCAATGATTCTTTTTTATTTAAAAGCTAGTGCTTTTCGTGTGGTTCCCATATAAATTTGATCAAGGTACCAATAGGTTTTGAGTAATTCTTAATAAGACTTGAGGTCAGTTGTACAAAATTTTTAATTTTACCGTTTGTTTTTAACAATTTTTTTAGCACCTACCAACTATTATTTTTATATTTCTTCCAGGATTTATAGGTAGATGATGGCATAAGGCATTAAGTTCGTCCATTGTAACCCTTAGTGTATCAACTTATTTGGAATTGACATTCTATTGTACAATTAGATTCAAGGTTTCCATTGTCAATCCTATTCAGGATTATCAGCTACCTACAACCATCGCTTCATTTTGACGGATTTACTGAAACACTAAAGCTTTGTGACATGACATGAATAACATCTAAGTTCGTGTTCAATTTTTTGATTCTATTATTAATATCATCGGCACTGGATTATACTGTATTAGCAACTGAAGACGTTAGATACTGAGTTTACAAAGAGTGAAAACAATATTTTTGATAATACACCGCCTTGCGGCACACCAGCTTTAACGTCAGCCTAAGCAGAAAACTGCTTCCCTTTTTTGAAATATTTATTCGAATGATTATTCATTATTCACTGCTTTTTTTTCAGACACTTATTATCAACAGTAATTTATATAGTTTACACATATAAATTAGTTTATATTACAACACACTTTATACACAACACTGTAGGTTAAGCGCACAGTTGTAGCGTTCTCCTTTTCTATTTCCCTTTCTCTTTCTCGTCACACACACACGGACACACTATTGGCTGACAGTACCAACCTCTCGGAAAATGGGTTTAAACCGTCTGACGACCAATTTATGACCACGCGCGCTTATTGGTGAAATCAAACAGCGCGCGCGTCCCCGGCTTCCTGTTACACTCTTCCGTCCCATTTCATGAAATCACTCCCACAGATTGCAGGAAAGCGAGAGGAAAGATGTTTTAACACATCAAAACAATATTATTCACAAATGTATGCACAAATAAATACGTCTTAAGTTAATTTTATCCGATGCAACAATGATGTGATGAGATCAGGAGCAGGCTCAGAACCAGAGTCTAACAAACAGTATTCGTTTTCACAGAAAATTTAAAATAAAGTCTTAATCTAATCTTTCAATAGAATAGAAAAAATATGCTATACTACCGTCATTAATCACGAACAAAACACCTGCTAAGATAAATATATCGCTAAAACAATCAAGTCCTCGAGTAATTTGGCATGATTATGGACTAATTACTCGATATGATCTTGAAATTATCAAGCATTTTACAAAATTTTATTTAAGATAAGGATTAAATAAATACTCAGATAGTAAATTCAAAACTGCACTCGAAACTACCTTAGCCATGAAGTGTTTGGCAATTTTTCTTTCTATAGTAGCATGTTAGTATTACGTTTTTGTCTAAACATTCAAATATTAATCAAATTACTTATTCTTTTTAACATATTTTGCAATTCTAGTATGTGCTGGTAGTGCAATACCCCTTGTGCCCGGGGATAACAGCCATTATGTGGAAGGTGAAAGCCGCTATGTTTGGATTCCTGATGGAGATGGCGTACCGCACCTAGTGGACTTGGAGGAGCCAGTCGACGAGGAACTCCTAAGAAATAGAAATGGTGCAAAAAATCAATACTGGCTGTTCACCAGGTTTGTGTAACAATGAACATAGGCTGTATCAATATAGTCTATAAAGATGTATATATGTGCATAAGTATATGTAAACACTACGCAAGTTTATGACAATACGCTCTATTTCTTCATCTTTATCAACTTTGACTTCAAACTTCGAATTCATTCCTGCAGAGATAAATCTTAAATTTGTTTATACATACATTAACTCAGGACCGTGGTACTAAAAATAAAAATATTGAATCGCCTTCTTCTCTACCAGAATTCACCATAATCGCCACGATTGAAAGACAGATTGACGATCGCAGTATCAATCTCGCACCTTTGATACTGCTCCACGATGCCCGTTGAAGACTAAGTATTTCACACTTGGAGGTCTAAGATCTTTCTGACTTTTCCCATAACCATACTAACTTCTTGCGCCACGCACGGAACGATGTGTGTTTATAAGGTGGTCGTATGGACTGCCATTATACGGCAAGACTATACGTCCTACCGCAGAGAACAGACCTCCGGTCATTTCTGAGAGGATTATAGAGCAATTACTTCACCGTGCTGTACGTGTCCACGAAATATTTTATTTCTCAGACAGGCAACTTTAATCACAATGTTTTCCTTACCCGCCGAGCACCCAAATCAGACTGTTATTGGGAGCCACGCGCTCCTCAGCTACCACGACTCCAATATTGGTAGTTAAAATTTAAGAAAAAATATTCGAAACCTAATAAACAGACATTGTTTAAAACGACTTATCAGTTATTGCATAGATATGGGTAGGTACCAGTTGAGGCTCCATATAATTAATTATATTGCTTGTTTACTTGTAACTAGTGCTATCCGTCCGTATTTCTGCTAGTTTGGAGCACATCTGGGGGCCGTCCAATAGTGCTACATAAAAAGTGTTAATTTTATGTGCCGGAACGCACCCAATTATTTGAATTATGAAAACATCCTCTTACTCCGTCTTCTCTGTTTATATTCATTATAGATGAAAAATTTCCATATGATTGTTTTTCCAGATCAAACCCCACCAACCGTCAAGTCATTGTACATGGTAACGCAAATACAATCAGGAACTCCAACTACAACAAAAACCGACCAATCTTCGTTACTGTTCATGGATGGAGCAACGACGGAACCCATTGGATGAATCCTCTTCTTACATCAGCATTCCTCGCTGTCCAAGACGCAAACGTGATTGTCGTTGATTGGGGTGAAGTTGCCAAAACTAACTACAATACTGCCGCTAATGGCGTTCCCAATGTTGGTCAACACCTTGGTAACTTCTTAGTATGGCTGATCAACACTGCTGGCGGCAATTGGAACAATGTTCACTTGGTTGGCTTCAGCTTAGGAGCCCACGTAGTCGGTAACGCTGGCCGTACTGCCGGAGGCCGACCTGCTCGTGTTACTGGTTAGTTATAATTTTGTACTTTTTTAATAATAAGACACAAAACGCAAACGTGATGCGCGTAGTCAGGTATGTGAGTTAATTTGTGAATTTGTAAAATAACCGATAGTAATATTCTTAAATTATTTGTTCCGCTTCATCGCCTTAAGTTATTCAAGTCTTCCTATATTTTGAATAATTTTAAACAATAAATTAGTAAACAAATTATTATAAAATATAAAGGATTATGCTGATGACACACTTAAATATTTTACTTTGGACACACAGATTATTACACTAGCAGAGGAAGATCTCAATACCTTGCATATCTGGTTTCTATATAACTCGCTTACCATAAACATTGCCAAAACCTTGTGATGTAACTACAGATAATAAAACGGAATCCAAATCCAAACATAGCACTGCAAGACTTCAGGATACAATGAGCTCGTTCTTCTTGGGATTAATATATTAATATTTAAAAAAATGAGCTCGGATTAAATATAACATGAAGACCAAAACCACCTTAGTCCCCCGCGACCGATTAGTGCTACAAACCACTCCAACCAAACATAGTGGATAAACTGTAATCGGTTTTGGGAAACGCAGCTTCCAGCGCCAATAATTTAAACATTTTTCATCACTCACTCATTATAGACTCATTTTTTTAAGAATTTATTTGGTGATTTTATAATAGTAATAGACAACTATAACCAACTATAGGTAAGTGACGCCGAAACCATGCTCAACTACGTAGTACTATTATTTATTCGGTGGCTCAACTTATACGCACTCACGCACACGTCATTCTTCTTCTTTCTCTAATATTCCATAAAATTCTACAACTACGCACACAAATGCACCTTAAATAATGTTATATAGCTGCAAATAATTTTAGATACATAGATAGTTATGTGCATGATTGCGTGTTCTTAAAAGAAGATAAGCATGATTTTGACTTGATTCCTGCGTCACTTGAAATGTTCGCAGCGTTTTTCAACTTTTCTTTGTTAGTCTTACTAACCTTATGACATGAACTCGTAAGAATATTATGTGCATAACACTTAAGAAAATTAAACCTCCATATTTTGTTATCAGGATTGGATCCCGCCGGACCTCGATGGGCTGGTAACTCAAACGCGCTGAACCGTAATGCCGGACAGTATGTAGAATCCATTCATACCGACGGCCGTATCCTTGGTATTATGAATGCGATATCTGACGCTGATTTCTACCCCAACGGTGGTAGAAACCCACAACCTGGTTGCCGGACCAGCTCGTGTTCACATGATCGTGCACCTGAACTTTTTGCATCGAGTGTTCGTACAAACCACTTTGTAGGCAGATTGTGCCCAAATATCAACGAGGCCGAGCTCTCTACATGCAACGGTGCTGCCTTCAATATGGGCAACGCAGTCATGAACAAACGAGGGTAAATAAAATTATTTATTCGTTACTTTATTCATTAGCATATCTTACATAAGACATACGGTCAAAAGAACCTAAAAATCTATACAATCATTATAAATACGGTAATGTGAAGACCCCATGAAAAAAGCTACTGAATCTTAGTACTCCTGTCTATGATAAGTAATTTTGTACATTTCATTTCAGACGCGGCATCTACGCGCTACGAACCGGCAGCTCTTGGCCTTTTTAGATGAATCTTTCGCATAATCCTATAATATAATTCTGTTCATAATATGATATTTGTTTTATTAACAAACCCAAAAAAATATATAGTTTATTATTATTCTATGTTGTAGCAATATAAAAGCAAAATCACTGAAACTAGTTTAGTTTGGTTTGGCACAAAGCGCTTCTTTCGAAGCTCCCTTCCTATGGGCTTCCCGAGAAATTATGCAATTGGATCACCAGCTTTCTTGCAGATCGGAGCATCAAGGTCGTTGTAGACGGTGCATGCTCCGACTACAAGCCTATTAACGCTGGTGTTCCACAAGGCTGCGTGCTATCACCAACGCTGTTTCTTCTGCATATCAATGATATGTTGCAAGCTGGTAGCATTCATTGCTATGCAGATGACAGCACTGGTGATGCTCTATACACCGGCCGTGCCAATATTTCTCGGGAAAACGTCACCGAGTACCGGAACAAACTTGTGTCTGAAGTCGAGTCTTTGCTGGACAAAGTCTCGGATTGGGGGCGACTAAATCTAGTCCAGTTTAATCCTCAGAAGACACAAGTTTGCGCGTTTACCGCTAAAAAGAACCCCTTTGTCGTATCTCCTCAGTTTCAAGGTACTCCCCTTGTTGCCTCAGCCAGTATCGGAATCCTCGGCGTCGACATATCGAGTAGCGTGCAGTTTCGTGGTCACTTGGAAGAGAAGGCCAAATTGGCCTCTAAAAAGCTTGGCGTGCTCAGCAGAGCGGGACAGTATTTCATGCCGGCTCAACGCCTGCAACTTTACAAGGCGCAGGTTCGGCCTCACATGGAATACTGTTCCCATCTCTGGGCTGGGGCTCCCCAGTGCCAGCTTCTTCCACTTGACCGCATCCAGCGCAGAGCGGCTCGAATCGTCGACGACCGAGTCCTTTCCGATCGGCTCGACTCATTGGCACTGCGAAGAGATGTTGCATCTCTTAGCATTTTCTTTCGCATTTACCATGGGGAGTGCTCTGAGGAATTGTTCGGATTAATCCCAGCCGCCAAATTTCACGAACGCACATCGCGGCAGAACTCCCGATACCATCCACACCATCTGGATGATTGGCGGTCCACCACTGTGCGATTTAGAAGATGTTTTCTTCCTCGCACAACTTCCTTGTGGAATAGTTTACCACCAGCGATTTTTCCGGACCGATACGACTTAGGGACCTTCAAGAAAAGAGCCTACTCCTTTTTAAAAGGCCGGCAACGCATCTGCAATTCCCCTGGTGTTGCGGTTGTTCATGGGCGGCGGTAGTCACTTTCCATCAGGTGAGCCGCATGCTCGTTTGCCCCCTCTCCTATAAAAAAAAAAAAAAAAAAAAAAAAAAAAAAAAACTAAAATCAATCAATTAAATTATTTATTTAAGTAATCTTTTTTGTCAGGTCACAAAGATTTAGTGTTTTGCGAGTAGATGGTTTAGGTAGCTCCATAATCCTGAAGAGGACATTTTATAATAGGACATTGAAAACCCTGAACCTGATTTGTATAATGGAATGTCAATTCCAAATAAGTTGACACAGTAAGGGTTGAGACACTGGGTTACAATGGGCTTAATGTCTTATGCCATTCTCTGTTAATCAATCCTGGGAGAAATAGAAAAATAAATGTTAGTAAGTGTTAAAATAATCTTTAAAATAACTTAAATATATGTGACTAAGCATAGAATATTTACGCATACATGCTAATATGCTTATAGCTATACATGAAAATAAAAGACTATATAAATTGACTATGTATATACTATGTAAATTGCCATTATAATATATAAAGTAAAAATGAAATTTATAGCCAAATGTAGTTTTCCTCTAGATAATATTGTCAAACCAGTTTTTTAATGCTCATTCGTTGCTTTTCATGGATCAATGAGCTGGGCATTTTAAATAAATATTGCCTGATCTGTAAATGAAGAATTAAAGAAACTCGTGCCATGCTGGGTAATATGAATCTTAAGAACGTTAGAAAAACTAGGTTCACGGTCTAATGTTGAATATCAAAAATTGAAGTTATCTTTGAGATATGAAAGAGAAGTTGAATTGCTCATTATAGAAAAATTGTTAATACTCAGTTTGTTCTAGAGCAACGCATCTTACGAACAATTTCAGTTTGAAAGAAAAATCAAAAGTATCAATGTGTAAGATTGAAATAACTGTATATGTTAAATTAAACACAATAAAATCCGTAGAAAAAGTTTTATGCACTGAATTCTAGTTCTTCCAGTCTAGGCTAATCTTAAGAATGGCTGAAACGATTGTTATAAAACTTCACAAACAGATAGAGAGCAATGCTAGATGAGATTAAGACTACCTTTATCAGAAAAACTTGGATATTTTTATTTTAAAAAATGAAAACTTGATAAATAAATGGTCTATGATCTTAAATCTAAATAATACCATTAATAGATCCTAATCGGGCGAAGCCGGCGCGAGTCGCTAATTGAAAACAAAAAATCTTATACAGTTGTTGAAAAAGCACTCCAACTTATGTAGAAGATTTTTCTATAGATCTGGATAGCACACAACTGCATAGTCGATAATGGGAACTATGAGGGAATTAACCAGCAAAAGCTTGGTTTTGAAGAATAAGAAATCTTTGAAACGATAAAGGGAATATAGTGTGGCGACAACTTAATGACTAATTTCAGAAATATTTAATACCCCTGTTCATAGTTTAAGTTACTTTTAACAATTTTTTTAACACCTACCAACACTTATTTTTCTATTTCTTCTAGGATTTATTGGTAGAGAATGGCATAAGGAATTAAGTGTTCATCCATTGTAACCTTTAGTGTCTCAACTTATTTCGAATTGACATTCCATAATCAGCTTCAAGGTTTCCATTGTCAAACCTATTCAAGATTGTGGAGCTACGTACACCCATCGCTTTATTTTGACGGATTTACTGAAACACTAAAGATGTCTCTACGAATCGAGCCAATCAAAGAAAACTCGGTCGTCGACGATTCGAGCCGCCCTGTTCATTATGCGGTCAAGTGAAAGGAACTCGCACTAGGGAGCCCCGGCCCAGAGATGAGACCATGTGAGGCGGAACCTGCGCTTGTAAAGTTGCAAACTACGTACAGGCATGAAATACTGTCCCGCTCTACTGAGTACGCCCAGCTTTTAAGAAGCCAATTTAGCTTTCTCTTGCAAGTGACCATGCTATTACAGGTCATTCGATATGTCGACGCCGATGATTCCGTTACTGACTGCGGCAACAAGGGAAGTGTTTTGAGATTGAGGAGATAAGACAAAGGTGTTCTTTTTAGCGGTAAACGCGCAAACTTGTGGATATGTAGAATAATTTATCGTGTAATGACTTTTAAGTTCAATGCTTTCCTAAAGTATGTTAGATTTAAAATGTATATTTATTTCTATTATTTTTGTAAAAGAAACGAATTTTAAAAACATGGAGGCGCTCTTATTGTATTTGTCGTTTCATGACGTGCCTTCGAAGCCGACCGACCAATCATATGCTATTATTTTAGCGTCTAATGGACCTAGTGACGTCATCCAAGATGCCACCAATGTTCTGCTGTTTGAATTGATTCTTAGTTATTGGAAATTGAATATTTTATTTCATGACATTTCATTTCATTCATAACGATATTCATGCCTTAAGAAGTTTATATGATTTTTTTGGTGTGATGGGAGTCATAATAAATAGATTTATACAATAAAAAAGAATGAAATATTTATAAAATATTCCCTATTAGCATATCGTAAAGCATTACAAACTTAGTAACAATCAACAACATTATCGATACTTTGATGTCGAATAGGTAACATTAACATTCCTAAAACGGGTTTTCACTGTTTTAGGAATGTTACCGTTTGGACACATTTATCAGCGTCACCTACTGGGGAATAGCTGAAATGTTTTACTAATAAATATTCAGCGTAGTTTTTGCTATGTTTAGCTAGAGGGTGTCACACTATGCTCGAGCTCAAAGTTTTTGTTTGCAAATGTTTCCCATGTCCGCTTTATAGTATACTTATATCTTTAAATCTCTTTGCATTCATTACACTTTTAGGCTCTACATGTGAAAAAATAAGGATTGTATCTTTATTTGTTATTTAATTAAACTTTAATCTTAAATTTTATGGTGCAGTTGTGGTTAAAAATTATCACATTAAATAAATCAATATTAAAATAATATTAATAATTTAGTTAAGTACCATATGCCACTCGTGTATTTTCATGTATTGAAATTGAAAACTTGGAGTCTGTTTAATATGTAATAGGAATATGTGGAACTATCTCTGCGCGCGACTTCGTACGCATACATTTTTGTAATTTATTGCCATACTTCCCTATTTTAATCAGATTTCGTTCACAATTGGGCGGAACCCTATTTGTTTTTCTAAAATAAAAGTAGCCTAAGTTACTCCTTATAACATCAGATTTAACAGCTGCCGTTGAAAATCCCACTAAAATCGATCCAAATGGACAAATAGACAGACAGAATTGTTTTTGTTATAAGTACCGTATATACCAGTAGTGTAGTTGTACCACTTCTAGACCACCTGAGTCAGACGTGGTTCAACGACGTTCGTCGACACACGATCCTAAAAAAAAAAAAAAAAAAAAAAACGGTGCACGGTTCCGGAGATGTGTAGATCAATTAGCTAATATCTAATTGATATCCGGTAAGGGCCTCCACCGTCATTAGCGTCCCATTGTTCCATTGTTTGCTCTATTGTTCTATTGTTCATTAATCACCTTCATTGCAGCGTGTGCGTCGACTATATCAGTGCTATTGTATTGTACTTCTTTGTTCCTAATTATACAAAGCTAATCTGAATCATCAATAAAACACATTACATAATTTTGTTACAATTTTTATTTATAAAATACAAAATCTTATTACTTATTATCTATAAAATAGGAGCGAAACATCTCATCCACTAAAATATCGTTGTACAATGTGTTCCTTGTAAATATACTCGTAAAACTATGTATTGAACATCCTTGAAACTTATATAGCAAATACATTAAGCAATATTCGCCACAAACTGAAGTCCACTCATTCTGAATCCTATCAACATTCCAGTTCCATCTTTTACAATTCCTTTTTAAAAACTCTAGATGATATCGTACAGGTGATCGTCCATATGAATCAAAATATTGACCGACGTCATTCGTATCGATATATAAAGCTACCCAATGTGACCCTGGTTTATCATCTGTATCCAAATTGCATATTATATACGTTGGTACGTGGGTATACATAGGCAGTCTATTAGCTGCATAAACATTATTTTCTAGACTGGGGTGAATCTTTTTCAGATGTTGTTGTACATCTAGTGTATCCATGATATTACTGCTATTAGTAGATTATTACAGTACCAATCTACTCAATGAATAACATAGGAATGGTCAATTATAGTGATTTCTAAATATTAAATTGCATTTTTGTGTTATACAAATCGTACTTGAGTCATTGATCACCAAACAAAACACAATACGAAGAAATGTTGAGATAGGCAACGGAAATGTGAGATAAACTGATATGTTTCTAAATATTAAATTGCATTTTTGTGTTATACAAATCGTACTTGAGTCATTGATCACCAAACAAAACACAATACGAAGAAATGTTGAGATAGACAACGGAAATGTGAGATAAACTGGTTGACGCATAAAGTAATTATCAACTCATTACGGAAATACTTTAGATTAGAATTTTTACGTACTGGTGGTATATAAGACCAACAGACGCAGTCATCGAGTTAGTGTACGGTCGTTTGACTACAGTGGATCTATCAATAGTACATTTGTGTTACTTCAATACACCAAAGGCTATGGATGTAAGTGTTTATTCTATTGACTAAATTACTTTTTTTCTGTTATTTTCATGTGTGTGTATTATTTTATTTAAATATTGTGTATGTATATGATTAAGCCGTGGTAACTCAGATGGTTAGCGCTAGCTGTAAATTTCACAGTACGCGACCCGGGTTCGATCCCCGCCAGCACCAATTAAATTGTTAATCGCAATTTTAAGTGCTTATTACCACGTGCTTGGTGGTGAAGGAAAACATCGTGAGGAAACCTGCATGTCTGAGAAAATTTCGAAGGCATGTGAAGTTCGCCAACACACATTGAGGGAGCGCGGCGGACATTTCCTTGCTCTAAAACCCTCTCAGAAATGAGAGGAGGCCTATGTTCAGCAGTGGACTTTAATAGGCTGTAACTTTAACTTTTTTAACTTTTATGATTAAGTGTTAACAAATTGATATTAACATGATAACTGTGTTGTTGCAGAAATCATTGAGCTTCGATGAAGATACCTATAAACAGTATTACTACTCGCCACTCTCCCCTCAAGAAGAGAGTGATAACCTCGTCATTAATAATAACACATGCGATGGTGGAAAAAGAAAATCGCAATCGATTGATCATTTTTTTGAAGCTGAATAAAAAATAAAAAAGAGGAAGCTGTTATCATCAACCGTAGCACGAGCCGCTAGAGATGGTGTATCATACATTTCTACTAATTCTGACGACGGAGACCAAGCGACGCATCTCATCAAAATTGAAATGTACGATATGAAGAAGCTATCCAAGATTCCAACTACTGATCATTGGAAACATGCTTCCACGAGAATTAAATATTACGTAAAGACTAATAAGGATAGCATCTACGACAACACAAACGCCCTCGTATACAATATAACAAAGACAATAGCAGAAAGTGAAAAAGTTAAAAAATACTTTTTTAACAATGACAGTCATTAGCTGATCATTAGTGAATGTGATTCTGTTTACTTCAATTACAGGAAGACAAGAGCGGAAGGAAGAGATGAGTGTGGCATACGTGTACAAAACACATCATTGAATAACAAAACTACAACACTGAGTGGAGAAGAAAACGAGAAGAGTATGCAGTACTCAAGAGCTGAATATCCATTCTTCAGTTCAAAATCTAGCCGTTTGCTTAGTTTCGAAAACTGGCCTCTCGTTATGCGACAGAAACCTGAAGATCTTGCAGAAGCTGGTTTCTTTTATACTGGCCATGCAGACGGGACCAAGTGTTTCCATTGTGGTGGTGGTTTAAAAGATTGGGAAGATGATGATGATCCTTGGCAGCAGCATGTTCAGTGGTTTAGTCAGTGTGCTTATGTAAAATTTCAACTCGAACAGTGTTTTGTATTATATTAAATAGAAGATTTATAAAGAAATAAAAAAAAATATATTGCATACAATTTGTTTTATTTAATTTTATAACGTTTCACATAGTTACATACACACAAAATGCATTACACATAACACATAAAATCTAACACACAACACATATTATAACCTTAACTACTATAGTCTACAGTAACATTTCTGTTTTTATCTATCTCAATAATATTATCAAACTCAGCATAAACTATACAGTTAATTGTTTGTATTAATGAGGATTCAAATCGTACTTCTATTCTTACACTACCATGCTTTATGAGATTCCAATGAGTTGATGAGTTAGCTGATAAATCAGGAGTTAAGTCAAATGCTAATAGACAGTAACCTTTGCCATACTGATCACAAGAGATTCCATTTCCTTCATTAAGAAAGTGAATACCAGTTCCCGAGAATAGAGTATGATATGCTGATGTAAATATGCTATTATTAAAAGATGGTTGCAAAGCTTTTGAAGGTATTTGTTGACCATCAATATATAAGCTGAAAGAATTAATACCATAGTTTTCAAAGTTAAATGGATTTTTAGTAAGGGAACCATTAAATGCAGAATTGTTCACAAATCCAATTATACATCTTTTCGGTACCTGTCCTAAAAATATATTATCAAGAGTTTTTCCTTGAACACCCGAAGGAATTGTTAAAACTTTTACTTCAGCTCGAGTAATAGGATATTTAGCAGTGGTAGAAGCTAAAACTTTTTGATGTGCGAGTATATGCGAGAATACACTTGGATTAATTCGTGCTCGTCGAACAATAAGAGTTGCGTCCGTAATGCAAACTTTAAACTTTACATCGTTTGACCCAACAATTAAATTAAAACTCTCTCTTGATCGAACCAATTTAACACTCATTTCAACACCATTAATTAAAAATTTATCTTGGTTAAAAATGTCACCTTGAAGATGACCAATCATTTCTATTTCCTTACTTTCACTAATCAATTCCTGTCTTTTAACAAATCCTATGTTTTTACCATCTGTAGAATCCATTTTTCCTGCTGTATCCTCATACCAAAAGACTACAAGTAAGATGTTGAAGAAGAAGAAGTTGACTAAAAAGTGAATGCAGCCAATTATTTACAGGTGCTACTATTGTAGTAGATACCAAGTTAGTTGAATCTTGATTTAATACTTTTGCCTTTATGTGGAGTAATGTATGAGACAAATCTATGTAGTCATCGCCGGTCCCAGGAACTTGAAACTCGATAGGTCCATCATCACCAAGAGATGAAATTGGTTTATAATGAATCCACAATCCATTTTCAATGCTAGTTTGTGTAGACGGTAGTGCAAACAAATCCAATTCTGACTTAACGCACTCACAAGAATGATTATGAAGGAAAGACATATTTAGTTTGAAAATATATCTTTGATATTTTTTGGTTTTAGACAAAGTTTTTTCGCAGCTTTCACTTTAGCAGTTAATGGTGGAATGAACGATGTCAATCGTTTTCTTTTAGTTTTATACCCAGATCCAGTAATGTTAAATTGATCAATTTTCTCATCAGCCTTTCGTTTTAAATTCGTACTAACTTGCTTTAGACGATCTTTTATTGAGGCTTCCATAGGACGGGCTTGAACCATATCCGATAAAAGTCCTACTCCAGCGCTTAATGCCTCCTTACCAATCACTCGAGCACCACTTGAAAGTAAAGGTAAAACTGATCTGAATAACCCCCTAAGAAGCTCCCAATACCATGACCGCGTTGATATGGTGAACCCTTATAAATTACTCCAACTCCTGATCCAGCTTGATGTGTATAATAATTTTCATATGGACATTTATGATGATCACGAAGAGAATTCATTATTATAATTTTCGGAAATGTAGTTTAATACACACGGTTCCAAACTGGAATGGTATTTTTTGTCCTGTACTCGATCTTATAACTATTTCCAACGTATCGAACTCTCTTCGCATAACAGGTAAGTAGTGAGGTTGAGAGAAAACGTGCATTTTATTTGCACCATAAATGTATTTTGTAGGATCTAATGAAATGACTCTTAATAAAGGAGTCATAACATCACCCACAATCTGAGGATCGATAATATCGCAATATAGAAATAGTTGAGATGGTAACCCTAAGTGTAAATTAGCAGGACACTTTCCAAAATTTCTCTCTAGGAGATTTTTATTTGGTTCATAACCTAGCTGTAAACTTAATTTGGGTGATAATGTTACGGATGTTATATTTTTATCCAATACCGAAATAGACACAAATTTTGTTATTTCATCATAGCGAAATTTCAAGTTCTCTCCGATACCATTTAACACTCTTAAAATATGCTCAACGTTATCATAGTTGGTAGCTGGAATATGTTTTTTGTAGTACACTGTGGATGGTTTATCTTCATTAGGCATTAACATAGATTTTGTAATGTATATAACATTTTCATGGTCTTGAACAGTAAACATGGTACATGGATATTGAAACTCGACAACTCCAACCGACCATTCACCTTCTAATTTTATAGCTTTTGGTAATTTCGTTGAAAAATTTGTGGTCTTGTTATCAGGAAAGTATTCCATTGAACTATTGCTGAGCAAAGTTAAATAGAAACTTTCTTTATTCATAATTCTTTTAAACTAGAAGCTAAAATCCAACTGTTAAATTTATCTGGATAACCTTTCCACTTCACTAATACTTCTTTTCTGTTACCTGAATAACGAGTGTCAATTATTTTATCTATTTTATGTTGTGAGGTGGGGTTGTAAGTGATTTTCTGTAATTCTCTTTCATAAAAAGTACCAATTATTGGTTCATTTTGTAAATCTGTTATTGTATAAACAACCCATGGAGATCTATCAATTATTGAAGATATAATAAATATTTCATCACTCCAATTTGATTCATATCCTTTTTGGAATACATGTTTATATTTAGTTATTCGAACATAATCACCCACATTGAAATTTGGTTTAGGATTTTCTAAAGAAAGTTATTTTGACCGTCTATCATAAAGATTAGTCCAAACTGTCATAATATTGTTGGAATTTACATCACATGGGCACATCTTAATACTAGAGTGAAAGCTGTGATTATAAGAGTATATTAAATCTTGTAAAACATCTATATATCTATAAGTATTATTATGAGTGAAATAACGCCACATTTTCATTTTTAGTGTTCTTTGAAATCGTTCAACAATACTAGCCTTAATGTCAGGATTGTTAGTGGTATAGTAATTAATCTTTTTGGATTTAAAGTATTTTTGTACATCTTTTGAAACAAATTCTGTACCTTTATCGGATTGTATGTGAGTAGGTGTTAAATTACTTTCAGTAAATATACTTTCAAAACATTCTTTAGTTGTTTCTGAGTTTTTCTTTTTCATTGGTCTTGCAAAAGCATATTTACTAAATACATCAATAATACAAAGTATATATTTGATAGAATGTACCTATTACGCGGGAATTTTTTTCGAATGGGTTTATGTAATGTGTATGTTTCTTGTGATTTTAACCATTCCTTTACTTGCTTTTTATTCATTATACCCTTCATGGCTTTTGATAATTTATCAATACTACCAAAACCAGCGGGATTAGATGGATCATAATAAATCCTGTTATTTTTTTCTAGTACGGGGTCCATTTTTCCCACTCAAGTCCTTTACGTATTTTAGTTGTAGACTTTTTATCTCTACTGCCCGGTGTAGAAAACTCTTGAACTTCAATCTCAGAGGGTTTGTTCAGATCTTTTGCTTGAAGTTGGTTAATAAACTCACATCTCCTTGGATTTCCAATATAAGTAAGAGGTACTTTAATATCTTTTAATGCTTCAGCAAATCTAACCCACCCTACCGGATCACTTCTTTTTAGGGGTCTTAGTGAATCATTTATTAAATCCACAATATTACTTCCAGGAATTTTTTCACTATCAATTATGACTGTACCTTCATTATCCCAATGTATTTTAATTTTTACTTGTTTCAACTAAGTTTAATAATAACTGCCCTTTTTTATGATAAGTTTTTGGTATTAAACTGAGTATTTGAGCTGGTGTGTAAAGTGGATTTTCATCATTTTCTTTACTTTTAATGGATCGATTCTCCTCCAGCAAAGATTCAATATCAACTGAAGTTTTTAGATCTCTATCTTTATTTTTAAAACCAATTTTTGACTCATTTGAATCTTCATTAGATGTATCAGAATAAATTGGTAATTTGAGTGGTTGACGATCCTCTTCGGTAAAATGAAGGTATCTTTGCAGTGTTTGTAAATATAATATCCATTTCTTTCGGTCTTCCGTCTTACTATTCATAATATTTTGCATTTCAATATCTAATCGAGATAAATTACTATTAACCTTATTTTCTTGTTTTAATTTTTCAATCAATCCAGGTTCGATAAGTATCATTTTCTTTGCATTTTCCATGTTAACTGGCTAGTCCACTCACTAATCCACTCAATATTGCACCTTATATTGTTGGTAAGAAAGCCCCTCCTTTTTGTATAATTATATTTTTTCTTAGTTTATGTTTACACTTACGTACTAGTTTACGGAGTATGTTTTTATGTTTATTCAATTTTTGTTTATTCTGATCTTTAAGAGGTACTTTTCCTTGTAAAACGTTATGAATACACTCACAAATACAGTTAATTTCTTCTTCATCACACGTTTTAAGTAATGCTCTTTGATATTTTGGTTTAAGCGTATGCAAAGCGGTTAGCAAATTTTTATACGTTGTGAGTCCACGATGCATCATTTAGCAATGATTTCAATTGTTTGATTCTTGGTGTATTTAAACTCTTTTGTGGGGACGTAGACTGTACAGAAACCATTAAATGGAAAGACATTTGTCTTGATACGACAAAAATCATTGGTATTCTGTTTTAAATCTACCATTAAATATCCATGCGCCTCTAGAGTTGCATCCCTGTAGGCATTTTCAATGAATTTTGGGTTATCTGGTGATACTTGTCTTGCTAAATATCTTATTTGAGTTTTATCTCGAGGGTTTTTAAAATATATTATATAACTTGAGTTTAAAGATATGTCTCTTTGTCCTTTACCCTGATGAAATAAATTTTGTGTTAGATAAAATACACTAAGATTCCTGTGATGACTACCTTTTGTAAATATATCCACAATTCTTCCATCGGACTCTCTCATTAGATCATCAATAATAACAAGATGTGGGTTTTCACCATCAAACATATTGAGATTTGGAATTCCTTGATGATATTAACATTTGGTAAATTATATAATGGTTGCATTTCATCAAAGCACCATGTGATCTGATTAAAATCACAATTACATATTTCTGTAACTGATTTTATGAAATTTGTTACAAAATTTGACTTCCCACACCCACTTGGTCCTGCCACAATAGCAGTGAACGGATGGATAAAGTGAAACATAACACACGTCTAAAGTTCAAAGGGGTGAAATAAAAAATGAAAGTGTTGGTGTAAACAATTAATATATATTCCAAAAATTATATAAAACAGAATTATCTGTATACTATTTCTAACACAATTAGTACATCATAATTTTACAATTAACTCAACCTCAAATAAATAGAAACAACAATTAGTACATCATAATTTTACAATTAACTCAACCTCAAATAAATAGAAACAACAATTAACTTAAATTATTTACAATAAAACAATGATTAAATATGTAATAAACTACGTCATACTATAGTATTATCATAATTTTACAATCAATATAAATTTTTCTTAAACGCAGACATAAAAGTAAAAACTATCAACACTTAACGCAGTTTATAATGACCCCAAGCTAATGTTTCAATATTATTACCTAAAATATGTCTCTTTGTGTCATTATATGATAAACCTATCTTATTTAATTTTTGTGTGAAAATTGTGTGTTTAATTGATTTAAATCTAAGCATACTATAATGTTGCACTTTTTTATTAAATAGAGAAGACTTATAACTATTCATTGTCATCTTTTTAGTGATACATTTATTTACCCCTTTTGCCTTGGCTATAGTCTTATTCTCTAAGTTAAAAGCGTACA